CTATTGGGTACATTGTTTTACCGTCATCTCATTGTGAACACTGTTTAATCGTCGTCTTGTTTCGTTATGAACATTGTTTAACGTCATCTTTTTGCGTACAGTTTTACCATCATCTCCTTGTGAGCATGTTTACCGTCATCTCATTGTGATAATGGTTTAGCCGTCATCTCATTGTGATAATGGTTTAACCATCATCTCATTGTGATAATGGTTTATCATCTCATTGTGATAATGGTTTAACCGTCATCTCATTGTGATAATGGTTTATCATCTCATTGTGATAATGGTTTAGCCGTCATCTCATTGTGATAATGGTTTAACCATCATCTCATTGTGATAATGGTTTATCATCTCATTGTGATAATGGTTTATCATCTCATTGTGATAATGGTTTATCATCTCATTGTGATAATGGTTTAACCGTCATCTCATTGTGATAATGGTTTATCATCTCATTGTGATAATGGTTTAACCGTCATCTCATTGTGATAATGGTTTATCATCTCATTGTGATAATGGTTTGGCGTCATCTCTTTGCGATAATGGTTTAACCGTCATCTCATTGTGATAATGGTTTATCATCTCATTGTGATAATGGTTTATCATCTCATTGTGATAATGGTTTAACCGTCATCTCATTGTGATAATGGTTTATCATCTCATTGTGATAATGGTTTATCATCTCATTGTGATAATGGTTTAACCGTCATCTCATTGTGATAATGGTTTATCATCTCATTGTGATAATGGTTTGGCGTCATCTCTTTGCGATAATGGTTTAACCGTCATCTCATTGTGATAATGATTTAACCGTCATCTCATTGTGATAATGGTTTATCATCTCATTGTGATAATGGTTTATCATCTCATTGTGATAATGGTTTATCATCTCATTGTGATAATGGTTTATCATCTCATTGTGATAATGGTTTAACCGTCATCTCATTGTGATAATGATTTAACCGTCATCTCATTGTGATAATGGTTTGGCGTCATCTCATTGTGATAATGGTTTAACCGTCATCTCATTGTGATAATGATTTAACCGTCATCTCTTTGTGATAATGGTTTAACCGTCATCTCATTGTGATAATGGTTTAACCGTCATCTCATTGTGATAATGGTTTATCATCTCATTGTGATAATGGTTTAACTGTCATCTCATTGTGATAATGGTTTGGCGTCATCTCATTGTGATAATGGTTTATCATCTCATTGTGATAATGATTTAACCGTCATCTCATTGTGATAATGGTTTATCATCTCATTGTGATAATGGTTTATCATCTCATTGTGATAATGGTTTATCATCTCATTGTGATAATGGTTTATCATCTCATTGTGATAATGGTTTAACCGTCATCTCATTGTGATAATGATTTAACCGTCATCTCTTTGCGATAATGGTTTAACCGTCATCTCATTGTGATAATGATTTAACCGTCATCTCATTGTGATAATGGTTTATCATCTCATTGTGATAATGGTTTAACCGTCATCTCATTGTGATAATGGTTTGGCGTCATCTCATTGTGATAATGGTTTATCATCTCATTGTGATAATGATTTAACCGTCATCTCATTGTGATAATGGTTTATCATCTCATTGTGATAATGGTTTATCATCTCATTGTGATAATGGTTTATCATCTCATTGTGATAATGGTTTAACCGTCATCTCATTGTGATAATGATTTAACCGTCATCTCATTGTGATAATGGTTTGGCGTCATCTCATTGTGATAATGGTTTAACCGTCATCTCATTGTGATAATGGTTTAGCCGTCATCTCATTGTGATAATGGTTTATCATCTCATTGTGATAATGGTTTATCATCTCATTGTGATAATGGTTTATCATCTCATTGTGATAATGGTTTAACCGTCATCTCATTGTGATAATGGTTTATCATCTCATTGTGATAATGGTTTATCATCTCATTGTGATAATGGTTTATCATCTCATTGTGATAATGGTTTAACCGTCATCTCATTGTGATAATGATTTAACCGTCATCTCATTGTGATAATGGTTTGGCGTCATCTCATTGTGATAATGGTTTAACCGTCATCTCATTGTGATAATGGTTTAGCCGTCATCTCATTGTGATAATGGTTTATCATCTCATTGTGATAATGGTTTATCATCTCATTGTGATAATGGTTTAACCGTCATCTCATTGTGATAATGATTTAACCGTCATCTCATTGTGATAATGGTTTGGCGTCATCTCATTGTGATAATGGTTTAACCGTCATCTCATTGTGATAATGGTTTAGCCGTCATCTCATTGTGATAATGGTTTAGCCGTCATCTCTTTGTGATAATGGTTTAACCGTCATCTCATTGTGATAATGGTTTATCATCTCATTGTGATAATGGTTTAACCGTCATCTCATTGTGTACATTGTTTTACCCTCATCTCATTGTGTACATTTTAAACCGTCATCTCATTGTGTACATCGTTTTAATGTCTTCTCATTGTGTACATTGTTTTACCGCCATTTCAGTGTACATTATTTACGTCATCTTTGTCTTCTTTTAAAAGAAAATTGTTGTTACATTGATTCAATACTGACCACCCTATTCTTCTTTGTGTTGTGTCCCACGTTGCCTCTCGTGGGCAGATAGCTAATATCGACCAACAGGCTGCCATTTTGTTTGTTGAGATTATATATGGATGACGCTTGTGTATTACTAATATGAAATGGATAAGAAAACAAGAGATCCCAGAGGGATCTTGGCGCCCACCATTTGAGGATCTGTTTTCAGTTCTTGAAGATTTGTTTTTTGTTTTGTTTGTTACAGGTGTTGTAAATGTTCATGAACTGGTCTTCATTGAATGTACTCAATGATGGCACAAGATATTTTTATTAATCACCTATTAGCAAATATCATTTGAAAAAGATCTCAAAGTATTATTAGATAGCAGTCAGTTACAGGTGGATAATTATTGTCGACATCCAAGATGGCTGCCTGTGGGCCTCCTTGATTTCAAATATATTTCAAAAATATATTTTTGTGCCATCACATCTCATGCTTAACTTTTCTCCGTCCTCACATCCCAAAATGTATGCTTTGCATATGCATTTAGCAATGGGTATATTTTCATGCCCTTGCATCTCACAAATCATTGTACATTTCTGCACCCTCCTTCCTCACATTTCTGCCCTCACATCTACCATATATTCTGCCCTCACATCTACCATATATGTCTTTAAATGCTCTTACATCTCAATGTTCATTTTAACCCCAAACTGTTGTCTATCTACCCTGACATAATATTCAATGTCCTCATTCTATATATTTCTGACTTATTGTTTGACATTTGTATTTGTCAATATGTTGCATTCTAATTCTATCCTTACGTTCCATCCCACAATGTTTCTGTGCTCACATCTCTAAAATGTATATATATATAAATATATATAAATAGTTTGCTTTAAAATGGATCACGACAAATGTCTGTGCCCTGACATTTCTTACTGTACTATGTCCATATGTCCCCATATTTCAATGTTCCTATCAGTATTCTCATATATCAAAATTTTCATCTCTGTGCCATCACACATTGTTTCTCTTTTCATTGCTTCTCACAACTTTTGTCTTTGTGTCTCACATAATTTTTGTCAATGCCCACAAAATTCACTTTTTTTGTCTGTCATTACAATTGATGGTCTGTTCTCACACTTTTCAACATCTTAATGTCTGTCCTCACATTTTTCAACATCTTAATGACTGTTCCAACATCTCTCAATATTTTAATGTCTGTTCTCACATCTTTCAACATATTAAAGTCTGCTCTCACATCTTAATGTCTGTGCTCAAATCTTAATGTCTGTTATCACAGCTACCAACACATCTTAATGTCTGTTCTCACATCTCTAACATCTTACTTCTGTTCACACATCTTAATGTCTGTTCTCACATCTTTAAACATATTAAAGTCTGTTCTCACATCTTAATGTCTGTGCTCAAATCTTAATGTCTGTTATCACAGCTACCAACACATCTTAATGTCTGTTCTCACATCTCTAACATCTTACTTCTGTTCACACATCTTAATGTCTGTTCTCACATCTCTAACATCTTACTTCTGTTCACACATCTTAATGTCTGTTCTCACATCTTTAAACACATCTTAATGTCTGTTCTCACATCTTCAACACATCTTAATGTCTGTTCTCATATCTTTTGACATCTTAATGTCTGTCCTTACATCTCTCAACATCTTAATGTCTGGTCTCACATCTCTCAAATTCTAAATATCTGTTCTCATATCTTTCAACACCTTAATGTCTGTTTTCTTTGAACCTGAAGATACATCCATGTACCAATATAAAATATAAATGTATCACTTAATAGCTTCATAATGTATGGCATGATCGTTATAGGTAAGTATCATATCTATAATTTCTTACTCCAGAATCTTTAGCAAGTCTGTAGATTCTTACTCCAGAATCATTAGAAAACCCATAGCTTCTTACTGTAAGAATTCTTTGCAAATCTAGTTTTTTACCCTAAGAATTTTTAGCAAATATGTAGTTTCTTACCAAAGAATTTTCAGCAAACATATATCCAGTATTTTCTCATCATAAGAATTTTTTAGCAAATCCATGGTTTCTTACCTCAAGAACTTTTAGCAGACATTTAAAATTTAATTAAGGATAAGCAGATTTTCAACCCTTTAATCTTACTTATTTCTATCAAAAAATAATTGTCAAGTTTTAATGTTTAACTTTCCACATCAAAGGATTAATGTCGTAAGTTAAAATTTTATTTAACTACCTCCAAATTCTACATTAAAGCCAAATGCTCTTTCAGGATATTTCTGTTACAATATTGTAAAGTATGTTTATCTTTTGAAATATGTTGTTCTTTTTCAGCTCCACTGACAAAAAGTCTATTTGAACGAGACTCCTACTTCAAAATGAAAATAAAGATTGCAAACCAATAGTCTACCATAACAATACAAATAATATTCCAGCAACACAAGGGAAACAATTTGACAGATTTAATGTTGAACAAATTTAATATGGTGCATGAGTAATTTACTGTGCAGTCAAAGAGGGGATAATTTCATATTTTGTATATTAAACAGACACAGAAACAAACATTCATACTGGTTAAAGGGAGATAATTTTGTATCTATAAGTAGCAGATGCTGAAATCAGTCTGCATATACAATATACATTGCATTATTTACATGAGAATTAATTGCAGTTGGAGTTGACCCTTCTCATCTTGTAACCAGGAAGTTAAAGTTTCACTGTCTCAAACCTATAATATCAATATAGTTCCACTGTCTAAAATCTTAAATATCAACAAATTCTAGCATTGTGATTACAAAATGAGTTTAAATCGAAGATATTCAGAAAAATATATTTCTTTTACAATGCCTGATGTTTGTTGTACAAAACCTGATAGTAGCTTTAATCTATTTCAATTATTACAATTTGAATACTAATTCAATCAGAAACGTGAAAAACTTAACACTTTGACAAAGGACCTATAATAAGTAATTCAAATTCAAAACAATTTTGAGGCAATAAAACAAAAACGAAATAATGCTTCTTAATAATGAAGGCATACTATCAAGGAGAACTTGTCAATACTTCAAGTTTGTTTAGATACTTATACAAAATCAATCAGATTTTGAATGAGGAACATGTATTTTAAACAAAGCAGTAGTGCAGTATGACAGGACTCCTGAATCAATAATGGTTTTAAATCTTCAGTGATTCACAGAAAATAAAATTCAACAAACTATCAGATTGTCTGAAATATTATTACAAAAAAATCAAATTGTCAGTGAGTTGTGAATCAGGTAGATTCATAAACACTTAAACATTGCAATTTTGTATAACAAGCAAAAAATCTACATCAATGAAGTATATCAGTTTTAACATTTTTTTTACATGTTTGGCAGTTATTACGCACAGGTATGTATGGCAGTCACAAATCTTGTTTCAGAACACATGCATGTTATAAACTGTATGTCAAATCTGTTAGATCATGCACCAAGGGCCAAGTTTAAGTATTGATAGAAAAGAAACTTTGATAATTAAGTAAGGAAGAAATCTAAACGCGAAGTAATTCAAAATCAAAACAACTTTGAGGCAGTAATCAAACTCAAGACTAATTCAGTTTTATCACAGTGAATGCATTCAAGGAGAACTTATCAAATCTAAAAACAATGAAAATAATAGAATTCAATTTAGTCTTCCCACATTTTTAAACTATATTTTTTTCAAATGCAACATTTGTTTTAATTTTGATACTACTATATATTCATAATATTGTTTGTATTAAATGCAAATAAGACTTAAATCTTTGTAAAATAAAGTTAAAATATGAACACATTATCTCAAACACATTATGGATATAAATTGCTCTTCCTGAATCAGAGGTTCCAAATCCATCCTCGGAAAAGAGAAGTAATACTCATGTCTTGGTTTTTGGTGAAAAGAAGCTTGACAGACTCTTCATACCAGACTTGTCTACTTTGCTTAGCAATGACTGAGCTTTGTTCATCTTGATAGTCTGCAATAGTTCAAAATATTTCTCAAAATACTTTTTTTTTGGTTGTAAATTTATAATTTTTAATATAAGGTAGTATGACAAACATTGATGAAAATTTTGATGATAAATATTTACCAGATATATTAAATAATTCTAGATCCTGCTCTTCAATGACAAATTTATGGCTAAAACTAGAAATTCACATGGCAAAATAAATTCATTATACACATCCAAGGTGAGACAATGTTATCTCAATTACAGAAACATATATATATTTTGCAACTGATTTCTCACCTTGACTTTAACATTACTTTTACCCTGACTGTAATCTTCTGTTGGACCAGAATTTTCTGTTTTCATTCGCTACAAATAGAAATAAAGATGGTCAACAACATGGTTGTACTGTTGTATACATGGTTTTATCATAAATAATATCAAATAAAACATCTACTAAAAATACATACCAAAACTTCAGCTTGTAGACCAAAACTGTTTAAATTATGTTGAAAATTTCAATACATTTAAAACTTGGTCTGAGCGAGTGATATTATGTTCATCTTTGATGCAATGAATCAGCATCATTTAGCCATAACTGATAGAGGAAATACATCTAAATCAAAGTACAAGCACGACAGACAATGGGGTCACACATCAGATTGGCCAATTGTCTCAGAATTATTTCTTGGAGAAATCAATCTAATCATGTCATCAACCAAATTCAAATGTAAAAACTGAATAAAACGGGTACCTTGTACCTTAATCTGAAGTACTTCCTTAATCCTACCTTAATCTGAAGTACTCCCTTAATCCTACCTTAATCTGAAGTACTTTCTTAATCCTACCTTAATCTGTTGTACAACCTTTATCCTACCTTAATCTGAAGTACTTTCTTAATCCTACCTTAATCTGAAGTACTTTCTTAATCCTACCTTAATCTGAAGTACTACCTTAATCTGTTGTACAACCTTTATCCTACCTTAATCTGAAGTACTTCCTTAATCCTACCTTAATCTGTTGTACAACCTTAATTCTACCTTAATCTGTTGTACAACCTTAATTCTACCTTAATCTGAAGTACTACCTTAATCTGTTGTACAACCTTAATCCTACCTTAATCTGAAGTACTACCTTAATCTGTTGTACAACCTTAATCCTACCTTAATCAGAAGTACTACCTTAATCCTACCTTAATCTGTTGTACAACCTTAATTCTACCTTAATCTGAAGTACTACCTTAATCTGTTGTACAACCTTAATCCTACCTTAATCTGAAGTACTACCTTAATCTGTTGTACAACCTTAATCCTACCTTAATCAGAAGTACTTCCTTAATCCTACCTTAATCAGAAGTACTTCCTTAATCCTACCTTAATCTGTTGTACAACCTTAATCCTATCTTAATCAGAAGTACTACCTTAATTTGTTGCACAACTTTAATCCTACCTTAATCAGAAGTACTACCTTAATCCTACCTTAATCTGTTGTACAACATTTATCCTACCTTAATCTGAAGTACTACCTTAATCCTACCTTAATCTGTTGTACAACCTTAATCCTACCTTAATCTGAAGTACTACCTTAATCTGTTGTACAACCTTTATCCTACCTTAATCTGAAGTACTACCTTAATCTGTTGTACAACCTTAATTCTACCTTAATCTGAAGTACTACCTTACTCCTACCTTAATCTGTTGTACAACCTTAATCCTACCTTAATCTGAAGTACTACCATAATCTGTTGTACAACCTTAATTCTACCTTAATCTGAAGTACTACCTTACTCCTACCTTAATCTGTTGTACAACCTTAATCCTACCTTAATCTGAAGTACTACCTTAATCTGTTGTACAACCTTAATCCTACCTTAATCTGAAGTACGACCTTAATCCTACCTTAATCTGTTGTACAACCTTAATCCTACCTTAATCTGAAGTACTACCTTAATCCTACCTTAATCTGTTGTACAACCTTAATCCTACCTTAATCTGTTGTACAACCTTAATCCTACCTTAATCAGAAGTACTACCTTAATCCTACCTTAATCTGTTGTACAACCTTAATCCTACCTTAATCTGAAGTACTACCTTAATCCTACCTTAATCTGTTGTACAACCTTAATCCTACCTTAATCTGAAGTACTACCTTAATCTGTTGTACAACCTTAATCCTACCTTAATCTGAAGTACTACCTTAATCTGTTGTACAACCTTAATCCTACCTTAATCTGAAGTACTACCTTAATCTGTTGTACAACCTTAATCCTACCTTAATCTGAAGTACTTCCTTAATCTGTTGTACAACCTTAATCCTACCTTAATCAGAAGTACTACCTTAATCTGTTGTACAACCTTAATCCTACCTTAATCAGAAGTACTACCTTAATCCTACCTTAACCAGAAGTACTACCTTAATCCTACCTTAATCTGAAGTACTTCCTTAATCTGTTGTACAACCTTAATCCTACCTTAATCAGAAGTACTACCTTAATCCTACCTTAATCTGAAGTAGTTAACACATGGAAACCAATTTAGGTATGCAAATGTCACAGAATAATGTCAGTAACGCAACTCTGATTGAAGGAGAATAAGATGCACCTACAAACCTAATTTCATCAAAATCAGTTCATATTTAGCAAAGCTTTTGTAGAACCTAAAGGGACAGACAGGGAACATCTTGTAATTAATATCCTCCTTTTCCTTTAAAAAATGAGAGGATAGTTACTTCAGTTCATATTGCAGAAAGCTTTAAATAATTTGCATGTAAATAAATAGTAGACATAAATCTTAAACCTTAAATAAAACTAATCAATCATAGGAAACTATCCATTTTTTTCACAGAATATTGTCTGTACTAGTTCCTATGGTTTAAACATAGAACTCATCTAACATCAATATGAGACTTTTTACAGTTCTTAACTACAAAACACAGTATACACAATGCATGATATAAAACACAACCTTGGCTGGAGGTTCTGTTGCTTCTGTCTTTTCTGATTCTTCGGGTAAACTTTAACAAAAAACAAGTAAATGTACAAGAAACGTGTTCTGCATGAAGTTCAACTATGCTTTATCAACTGTTTGACTCCACATGAAAAATGTGATACTCTTTCATTGAATATGTGTAGGTATTTGCACAGGTATCCTTTATTTTAGAGACAAACTGTTCAGCATTAAAACCCCACAAAATCTTAACTTCGTGATTTTAAGGATTTTCATATCTCATGCCTGTTTATATTGATATTTCCTTAATTAGATATCTTGAAAACATAATTTATCAAATAAGAGCTCCATTAGACAAACTTTAATGTGCAAAATGATAGCTAATCTAAGTGGGGATAATTCATTATTTAAAAATTAAACGGCATATCCAAAAAAAACCTAAAAAAAATTTGAATGTCATATCAAAATATCTGTTGACTCAACATTTACTCACCCTAGATGTATTAAAAGTTCCTGACCAAGAAATGAAGGCAAGTAGTCACATACCATTCCATGAGCAAATCGTCGGTAGTCATCTGTGACACAAAGTACACATTAATACATATTAAATCAAGGCATGTTTGTTAACCAGCAATAACACTGAATAACACACATTTTTAAAAAAAAAAAAATCAAGAAATGTTGACAAAAAGACAGACAGAATGGTGATAGTCCTAAGAGCTTAATAGTAATATAGACAGTTGAAATACAGGAATGGACCTTTTGTAGTCTGTTATTACTAGGACTACTGTTTTTCAGAATTCAATGTTTGAAAATATTGCACGTAATTTTCCCCAAATTTTCAGCTTTCATTCTGATGTTTGATAACAAATATTCCCCTTAATGAACAAGTCCCACAATAACAAACCTGTAGTTGCCGTAGAGAGACGTTTACTCCTGATAAAGGAGGAGCTTTGGGCTCCAGACACACAGATCCCCTTGGAGGACAGAACATCTGCTAACTTGTCCGTCTGTCAACAAAGAATGAATCAATTAAATAGTAGTTCATTAGGGTCAACTATCTGTTAAGATATTTTGTTTTAACTATATGAACACTGAAATTTTGAAAAAATGGAAACATTGGGGAAAAAATTGTAGGAAGAAATATACTTGAAGTTATTTACAAATTTTATAATTTTCAAAATTTCAGTATGAATGTTGTCAAGTGAAAATGAACTTTGTATAATTTGAAGATAAAATACTTGGTATTATATATGTTGTAAACTAATAAAGTGTACTGCAAGGGACAACTAAACAAAGGCAGTATAATGTGTACCAGTTGCTCCATCATTGGTGGATGAATGCAAAATCCAACCAAATTTCAGATTGTACATTTTGGACCAAAACAGTTCAATTCAAAATAAGTCTGAATACATATCATGTTCATCCTTAATGCAAAGAAGCAATTATAGAACAAGGAATGGATCTAAATTCAAGTGCAACCTAAGTATGACAGACGATGATAATCAATCCAATGAATGATCACAGGTAAAACAGTGAATGTACCTTTCCTTGTAGCCAGGACATTGTCTTCTCCTTGTTGTATCTGTACACTCTTAAGTCATCATCTCCTGCAAAAGGAAGTATTTTCATTTGATAGGTTCATATACCACACCAACTTAAACATTAATAGCAAAGGTTTTTTTCCCCATCTTTATTCCTGAGACCTGTATTCATGTACAAAATTAATACAACACTTCCCAGTAATTAAACACTGTCAACAAGCAAGAGGTTACATGGCACCACTAGCCCCACTTTAATTCAAGGGCTTTTTCTGGGGGATCTATGTGGTCAAATATGGGCCCTACTGCTACTTAAATTCGTAATATGGCCAAATTCCAAAAATATAAAGTTTACTTCTTAAAATCTCCTTCACAATTAATCAATTTTCTTCTCAAAAGATAAAAAAATCCTTTTCTAAAATGAGTTGGAAAAAATCCAAATTTCAAATATTTAAACATACTTTTGTTACAAGAACTGACAAATTTAACACAAAGAATAAACAAGAGATCCCAGAGGGATCTTGGCACCCACCATTTGAGGATCTGTTTTCAGTTCTTGAAGATTTGTTTATTTTTGTTTGTTTGTTACAGGTGTTGTAAATGTTCATGAACTGGTCTTCATTGAATGTACTCAATGATGGCACAAGATATTTTTATTAATCACCTATTAGCAAATATCATTTGAAAAAGATCCCAAAGTATTATTAGATAGCAGTCAGTTACAGGTGGATAATGGACAATATGCTTGAGCTGTATTATTGTCGACATCAAAGATGGCTGCCTGTGGGCCACCTTGATTTCAAATCAGTCCAAAAAAGGTACAATGCACAACTAGGGACCAAGGGAAACCAATATCTATGAAATATCAGAAGGATCCATCCAGTACTTCCTCAGATATAGCAGTAACAAGATTTTACTTCCAAAATCCAAGATGGCTGCCTGTCAGCCATCTTGATTTCGGATCAGTCCAAAAAGGTATAATGCACAACTTGGAACCAAAAGGAACCTGCATATGAAATTTGAGAAAGATCCATCCAGTACTTTCCAAGAAATAGCAGTAACAAACTTTTACATTCAAAATCCAAGATGGCCACCTGTCTGCCATCTTGAATTGGAATCAGTCCAAAAAAGGTACAATGCACAACTAGGGATCAAGGGGAAACTGCATATGAAATTTGAGAAAGATCCATCCAGTACTTTTCCAGAAATAGCGGTAACAAACTTTTACTTCCAAAATCCAAGATGGCTACCTGTCGGACGGATGGACGGACCACGGACGCAGGGCATTTGAATAAAAAATCAAGAATGATTAATGATTTAATTATTAAAAACTATTCAAGCCTTTGGTTGCATTCTATGGACAGTCTATAAATAGTTCTGTACGTATAGTGTTGTAAATGCATATAATTGATAAGTGATATTGCTGTTATATACATAATATTTAATGCTGTTTTTGTTCCTTGTTTTCCAATGTTAAGATGTTTTCTAAGGTGAAGTACACATGTATCATGAATTTAGTGTGTTACAAAGTAACGCTTTATTTACAATTTGCACAAGGAAAACCGATATATACACATGAAAGTTGTAAATGCCACAAAGAAAAATGTAAGAGAAGATTTAAGACCAAGTGATCTGAGAGTTCTAGCAAAGACTCTATTGGTCTACATTACAGTACTGAATGTTAGGAGTATTTTATTACCAATACAAGAGTTTCTCAGAACTGTATGTGTCATCTGCATCAAGTGTCACAGTCACCCAGAAATCGGACTGGATGTGCAATGTTCAACCATAAAGTTGTAATACCAAATTTCATTTCTATAAAATGAAGCATAAAGAGAAAACTGCGCAAAGCAATATTCCTGAGAAGTTTTCCAAGTTCAAAGGGACATATCACTGCCAAGAAGGGTTACAGACTTTGTACGTAACTTTTGACCTAGAACTCATTTACAAAATTGCATTTTGATAACTAGAAGCATAACCAAGAAAATTCCAGAAAACAATAAGATGAGTGTGCAGTGAATCCACGCATTTTGAACAGGAATGTCATCAGTTGTCATTAGTCTGTTGGAATGATCCATACTTACTTCTGGCAAAAAGGGTTACAGATAGCCAGGAATCGAACTTAATCTTTACTCTTCCAACAAGAAGCCATTTACCAAATTTCATTTCAATAACTCAAAGGATAACCCAAAAAAGTCTGGAAAACTTTCATACGCATGCCGCCGACATGTGACGACGGAAAAAGTGATCCCTAAGTGTCCACCAGCTCTGCAGGCGACACAATAATTTATAGGAGAATTTTAATTGGGACAAATGCTGACATTTTGTTAAGTTTGCAATGTCCTTTATTCTTGAAACAGGTGAGTTTAATGCACAAAATCACAGGATACAGGTTCACCAGTCAGTATTACTGACTTTTCTGTAAATAAAGTTTGAAATTAATATGGTCCAGAGAATAAAACTGGAAAGTTCAAATCATGCTGAGTTTGTCTTGGAGGAATCTCTTGGTCTTTGAAACAGAGGCTACAAAATAGCATCACTGATTGCTTCTTTGATAATTATTGAGAATCTATAAATAAAACTTTATATTTATTTAATATTATCAATACAATACACACACAATATCATTTTTGGGTGGGAAAATAATCTTAAAGCCAAATTATAAGGAACGTCATGGAACAATGTCTTCACACAAGAATAAAATAACATCAAATTGAAATTCAAAGTATCTATGCTTTTACTTGCATGAATGGCATATTAAATAGTATTCATTCAGTCTGGTAAATGTTTCCTCTGTATGGTCAATTTTCCTAGTTTACCTAACCAAATGTCCTGTTAGTATTTGTAAAGTTGAAAAGAACATTTTTTTTAAAAGAACATTTTTTTTCAAATGAAGATTTTGTGGACCTGTAAAATTTATTTTGAATCTTTAAAAATTTTACATTACCTGCCCAAATGACCTGTGAAAATTTTTAAAATTCAGCACATACTGGGAAAGTTGACACAAGCAGTTTAAAGTTTTCCATTCTTTGAAACTTTGAATGAAAAAAATGGGCTAACTGTAAGCTCTAAGATACATTTTACACAGAAATAGACTTTTCATACAAAGTATTCAGATTAAGCTTTTACCTTTCACATCTGAGACTTGGTGAAGCTCCGACATTCCAGCAGTCTTGTACAGACGATGGCATTCTGGGAAGTCATCATCAATCACAACCTGGTCTATTGTCATAAACTTGCCTGACTGAAGCAAATCATGAATGTAAATTAAACAGTTTAAAGAACCGTCATTTGACATTCTGTTTCAATAAAGAATGCTCAATGTATGAACGATGAAATGTTAAAATTAATTAACATGTTTTACAGATATATAATGTGAAAATCTTTCTGCAAATGCTGGTTATTTCTGTTGCTGTTGCCATCTTACTTCATCTTGTGAGCCAACACGCTTAAGACTGTGATAGGTTTATTTAAGATGCCAACACAAAACTATATTGAAGTGCATTTTTCATTTAAAAGAGCTGGTGTTTTTAAAATTAAAATGTGTACGATTACCATTTTGTGTACATTGATGTTAGCATGCTGGTACTATTGAGCAGTTTGATAATAAATGCAAGTTCATTCAGCTTATTGCTTTCCTGATTTTAGGGTTTGATGCTGAAAAATATAGGAACTTTTAACAGTAGTACAGAGAGAGAATCATTCAAACATCGCAAGTCACCTTTTCAGCTTTAATGAGGTACGGCAGCACGAGAAACAAAGGGTCCACTATAGATGTCAATCTTAGAGATCCATCTGTGGAGAAAGATACCAGGGTATTCCTTAAAATATTCAAACTGTACCTGCATTTAGTGATCCATCTACAGAGAAAAATATTCCTACAAAATTTTAATTGTATCAGCATTTAGACATCATTCTATAGAGAAAAAAAAATCCTAAAAATTTTCAAAATTATAGCAACATTTTTTCCTTTATTTCTTTCACATATTGAAACAGTGAAATAATTTTGGAGGTTATAACATCTTTTCAATTAATCTCTTTAGATGTATAATCACAAAACACTACTACGATAAAAACATAAAATGGCAGGAAAATGTATTGCCAGTAGGAAATGATCTTAATCTATCTGTTTTTGTTAATACTTCATATTTTCTGGTATTTAATGTTAAGTATCCAGTCACAGAACAAAACAGTTTTGTCATATCTGTTATATGCTTACCACTCTGTATCTGATTCCCTATGAACCAGGACCGAAACTCTTCTTTAAAGGAGGTCACTTCATGGATGTCCTGCTCATCATTAGAAAACACAAATATTGCACCTTTATCTGCAAATAAGAAAAGATTTTTTTTACTTAAAAGACTCAATAAACCCAAAAGAGAATTTGACTTAACATTAATTAATCAACTTAATAAAGGTGTCTTGATTATGTCATAACTGCAATCTCAATACTAGCAGTATGTATATATACATATATCACTCATCATCATCTTTCAACAATTTACAATAAATCTCAGGAAAAGTGCATAAGTATAAGTAGTCAAATATGAATGAAATCCATCTGATTTGCAGACCAATTTACCTAAAAAAAAGTAGCATGTTCCAAGAATTTTCCACTATAAAATTAATAGTTTAGAAAAATGGCCAGATCCATGTAAAGGTTATCATTATGAGAGTGGCAAATACAGAGTACAACAGCATACAGTACTTGATAAATTGTTGATACGTTGTTCCTATATCTGGAAAACTTCTTTCTTGTTTTGATTTGCTGATTGCAATGGTCGCTCGTTAGATACACAGATATGTTTGACAGAGAGAAAATAACAAACCTGTTTTAGGGTGACGCAGTTTACAAAATGTTGGCTTGTCTTCTGCATTCGGATTTTTTTCTATGATGGAATCTAGAAAAATAACATCTTTTTATAAATTTGGAAGTACAAACAAGTAAAACATATCAATTGCATTATCCCAATATCTTTTTCCAATGTCTCAAAAAGAAGCACAATATCACAAAATCTTTTCCTCACACCAAAATAAATGTTATGGCATTGTCCTAAATCTCTCAAACCATATTATATGTACATCTCAAAAATCATTTCTCCAGTGATACGGCTGTGTGTAGGCAATTAAACTCATTGTATTGTGATACAAACTGATAATGCCAATATTGCCAATCTAATTTGGGCAAAAGCTGATTAATAGATTGTAAAGTACATATATGAATGACATTTTCTACAATAAATTTTAATGATTCGTGGCATTTGATCCCTAACTAAATACAGGTGTATTTGTCAGATCAGTATCAAGCTGATTCAAGCACATTTTTGAAAACAGGTTGCAATCACAAGACTTGTCATAAATCTATTTTGAACAACACTGGGGCATGCTGATTAAGATATTTCCACACTTCATGAACTTTGACACTTATGAACAATTGTCATTTGGCACAGTTTATAAAAATTTCATGACTTCTTCCTACTCAATACTCCAGTAATTATGTTACTATATCTAGTATCTAACATTGAAAATAAAAATCTGAAGTCACCACATAAAAATTCACCATCAGCTATTTAAATGTGTCAACGTTTCTGTAAGCTAGAGGATGGGAAAACATTAAGACCTCTTCCACTTTGTAGTGTGGGTTACATAATTACGGACTTTAACTCCACATGTTAAATACAGATACATCATCTCTAACACAAATCTCTTGAGAGTGTATAATTACTTTTCATTGGGTTCAAACAACAAATACTGGCTTACTGCAAGATTTTGTAATGGCATACAGGGTTTTCCATAAGAGCCGGTCGCCGGCCAATTTGACCGGCTACTTTGATCATTTGGCCGCTTACACCAATATTACACGTAATAATGTTCCGTACACGACTACTCGTACACGGCAGGCCTGCCTCCTATGTTCACAACACAGCCTACTACTAATATAATTATGGAAAACCCTGGGCATACTATTTCTAAAATGTGCTTAAATTGCAACTGCACATATGTGTACGGTTGTTGGAAGATTCAGTTAACATCTGTCAATCGCTTAAGCACTTTGTAGGAAAAAAATTTCATCTTTCCATAGATATATATGTATTATTTCTATATGTATGCATGCTGTTAATTATATTCTGACTATCAATTGTGGCCTAGACAAAAATGAAAAGTCAGATCTAAAGAGGTCAGAATGCTTTGGACAACGTGAGCACTCAAATAGTGTTGAAGATTTACAAGGCAAGTATTCAAACAATGGTAGAGGTTTACACAGCCAGTACTCCAACAATGGTAGAGGTTTACACAGCCAGTACTCCAACAATGGTAGAGGTTTACACAGCCAGTACTCCAACAATGGTAGAGGTTTACACAGCCAGTACTCCAACAATGGTAGAGGTTTACACAGCCAGTACTCCAACAATGGTAGAGGTTTACACAGCCAGTACTCCAACAATGGTAGAGGTTTACACAGCCAGTACTCCAACAATGGTAGAGGTTAACACAGCCAGTACTCCAACAATGGTAGAGGTTTACACAGCCAGTACTCCAACAATGGTAGAGGTTTACACAGCCAGTACTCCAACAATGGTAGAGGTTTACACAGCCAGTACTCCAACAATGGTAGAGGTTTACACAGCCAGTACTCCAACAATGGTAGAGGTTTACACAGCCAGTACTCCAACAACAGTAGAGGTTTACACAGCCAGTACTCCAACAATGGTAGAGGTTTACACAGCCAGTACTCCAACAATGGTAGAGGTTTACACAGCCAGTACTCCAACAATGGTAGAGGTTTACACAGCCAGTACTCCAACAATGGTAGAGGTTTACACAGCCAGTACTCCAACAATGGTAGAGGTTTACACAGCCAGTACTCCAACAATGGTAGAGGTTTACACAGCCAGTACTCCAACAATGGTAGAGGTTTACACAGCCAGTACTCCAACAATGGTAGAGGTTTACACAGCCAGTACTCCAACAATGGTAGAGGTTTACACAGCCAGTACTCCAACAATGTTATTGAGATTTATATTACACATTACTTCATTGCTGCAGTTGGCAAAATAACGTTAATTATTAGTCAGTCATTAAGAAGCAGCCTATTGTGTTCGAGGAGTATTTACATTAATGTATACAATCCGTGTAAAAAGTATAGTCCGGTATACATCTGTCATGTTTATTTACTTGGGTTCACAAAGGACAAAGCAGTGACAGGGTATGTTCCATTTTCACATTCATTTACTTTCAACAATTTGATAAAACCCTACAACAGTAACAAAATGACATTACAACTAGACCGACGTATGTACACATAGCCAACAGTTAACATGAGACAAACAGGTAAGTATTGCGGGACGAACTCACATGGACAAAGTATCGACAGCTTACTCGAATAAAATACAACTTTCTAACTTACAACATTTACCGTAAATTGTCTATGCATTATAACAAAACTGTTTAGACTATTTAAGCCATGTCTTACTCACCCCAACACAGCCGGTTAATCCCAGGGCTAAGAGTACGGGAATGAAATATGCAAACTTTGTGCTCTAACACACACCTGTCCATCCAATCAAAACTCACTCTAAGATACACAAAAACCCCCAATTAACATTCTTACCTGGACACATGTGACACCAAAACTGGACACTGCGACAAGACACTATATATGTACATGTAGATATATATATACATACAAGGACACTACGCATGACAAACTCCCTACTCATGCATATTATGTATGTATATTACCAGACAGGTAATTGTACGGACATTGTATTAGTCCCCAGTGTACCTGTAATACAATGTACTAAAATAACCTGGTGACACATCAATCATGCACAATATGCATGTTGGTCACAGGTGTTTGAAATTTGGCTGGGACAATTAACATATATGAAAAATAAGGATAGCTCTATTATTTTAATATGAAATATATATTTATCAGCTTATAGCCATTTTCAAATACCTGCGATGTAGCATGTCAACTGGGCTGTGGACTTTACCGGTGCATTGTTAAATGCAGTGCCCGTGTATCACACGCATAACGTTATCTAAATATGTACCGTCTTAATAAATGAGAAGCTAAACATTGCGTGTATACCATTCATCAAAAACACCCATTGATCGGTGTCATAATTTCCTCCGCCATTTTTGTGCTCGTGTGACATCTCTCCATTGGTGTCTTTGGATTTTTGTCTAGAAGATCGCCGTGTTGACATTTCAATAATAAAATGGCGGGAAAATCTTGATCTGTCTTCTTCAGACGCTCGTGCAAGTCGCTATTCTAACAAAGCTTTTCATTGACGCAGTTTGAGAAAGCAACATGTCTGCGCCCACGTTGACAAAGAGGCAAATCCAACAGACACTAAGGAAAGGAAATAGTAAGCAGACGTCGAAGACTGTATTGTCTAACCCATATAATAAACAATGGTAATTTTATTATTTTTTGCAAGTAACACATTGTCAGTAGTGATACTCCACCTTATCATGTTTGTATGCTTTAACCGTGATTACAGAGTGAATATTTTTACGCCGGCGTGGATACTTGCCACATGCAATGTGTATGTAACAAAAGTCATTATTATTTGAGTGAGTCCGCTAGGATTCGAACCCGGGACCAGGGTAACATGTATCGTCTGGGCATCGGTTCTGGACCGTTATGTATTTCGGAACGGTCATTTTTTCGAAGAGTATCACATACACTATTAACCTATGTGACCACGCCCCAGGATAATTTTTGTTGCTGTAAGATGTCACACTTCCAGAAAGAATAAAAAAAATATAGATTAAAACCATTCACAGTAAAATATTCTGTGATGATGTTTCATGGGCAATTTTTTTTTCTTAATAGACATTTTTTCTTGTCAAACATCCTCTCAGATATGATGAAATAACCAACCAATCAATCCTTGGATGTCAGTATTTTGTTGTCATCTACCAAGTGAATAAAAATCAACCATGAATAAAAGGTTGTGCCTTCTTGCACTTTTTTGGATACAAAAGTTCAAACATCAAACATGCACGTCTTGTATTGGAAAAGTAGTGCTTTTAAATTATCAATTTTGATGACTCAATTCTGATTTTAATTAACAAGCGAACTGACTAATGAAAAATTACCTTTATTTAAATAGTTTGTCATAAAAAAGAAGTTTGAAAAGAAATATGGTTCTTTTTTTGAAAAAAAATAACCAAAAAATAAAAACTTGAATCTAACCCGTCAGAAAAGGTGCACATATCAACACAGACATTCACCATTTTCAAACCATTATTTTATTTTGAAATTTTTTTTTTTTTTTTTTGTCATCATAATGTCATTTCCATTCAGATGATGTTTTTATGTAATACACGTGTACTTCTGGGTCACTGTAAGCTGTCCTAAGCATCTCTGAGATTTAGTGATGTCATCAGAAACAGAAGTGCAGTCACATGTCCGATACACATGTCGATCATCTAAGATGAGAGAATTTGAGTTCAGACCAGTAGACAGTTTTTTTTTTCGAAAAATACTAGTGTTTCACTGATCAGTTTATGAAATAAATCATACAATATGAACATATTTGAACTAATTTATGTATGGCAATTCATTAATTTAGCATAGCTTAAATGGTTTTTAAGGGGTCAAAAACTAATGCACTGAGAATATATACTCCCCTCCAGGAAATGTCATTCTCAAGTCTCAAGGGTTACAGTGATGCTTTTGAAAGTAACGCTAAGGATTATCCCAAGTCCTTACATGGGCATCACTGTAATGGAGGTTATTATCATTTCGATGCCTTTTCTTGGATTTCAACCCAGGACCCTGGCATACTAGTCTGACACTCAACAAATCAAGCTAAAGAGAAGCTCTCACTAGCCAAGTGGTATATTGCATATTAGTTAGCTTTACATGCACATGTTTCTACAGGAATACCTTATTTCATTTGATGGATTATGTTTGTTTGCTGTGCTTGCCTGGTTAACAGACATGACCATTTTGAGGCGACGTCTCCTTGCAACACATGTAGCTGGTGGACATTTCACTGAACAGCATATGGGAGGTGCTACCCAGAGTAATTAAGTTTCTTACCTAAGGATACTATCAGGACTACATAGTCTCAGCTTTTCTGAGAAATACAAACCAGCACAGGAAGGGAGTGTTGAACAACACACCTAGGATCTTCAATTAAGTTTAAGTAAACCAACGTTCTAACTGTCTGAGCTATCATGGACTCATTTGAAAAATTTGTAAATAGATGAATATAATTATAGTAGATGCATATACAAATGTCCCTAGATATATATATTTGTGTGCATGCGTGTGTGTGTGTTTGTGTGTGTGTGTGTGGGGGGAGATTAATTATTTTTGGAATTAAACACCAAACCTCATTTCATGTTTAGTGTTATATTCCTAAACTTTTGAACTTTATTTGGTTATTTCCCTATGTAAGTCACTGCTAGTATCAGATTACAAATTAGCAATAAAATATTGAATTAAAATTGATTTAATGAAGTATATCTTCAGATGTTAACTTGGGGGATATCTTTTTTTGTACATTATGTTGTTTCTGTAAGGCCTATACAGCAGAGGTTATCTGATATCACAGATAGTCCCGTGGTTGTATCCTTGGGCAACAAATTTTATCCCAGTTGCTTAGAATAGTAAGTAGCTGGCCTCCCACCCCACCCATCTTGGATTTTGACTTGTGAAAGTTTGATATCACCATTTTTTGAGAAGTACTGAATGGATCATTCTCAATTTTTGAAAGTAGGTTGTCCTTGGTCCCTTATTGTGCCCCTTAGATTTTGGTACAGACTAGAAAAACAAAATGACTGATAGGTAACTGTCTTGGATTTTTACTCTGAAAAATCATTACTCCAGTTTTTGAGAAGCACTTGGTGGATTTTTCTCACATTTCATACAGCCGGCCAACTGGCAACCATCTCAGACTTCACAGCTAAAGATTATTAAGATCCTAACTTTAAAAAACAGATAAAAATAACAAATGGGATCAGATCTTATTTATGTGTTCCCTCAGATGTAATTATTGGTAGTAATCTTTGTCTTCTTGGTGCATACCTGATACCATCCAATTTTTAACCATCATCATCATTTTAGATTTACAATTTCCAATATGGAGGGAATTCTTCTGACATTCTCTCGGAAAGATGGTTCTTGTTTAACCCAGCAATAAGTACACAATCGTTATGAACCATTTATTCAATACTTTTCATTTTATCAGAGGTCTTTGAATGTACTATTTCATCTTGCACATTGGTTGAAGCTGAAAGCTGACAATTCTTTTTCCAAGTCGATCATTTTTTCCCTAGTCTTTGGTTTCTAGCAGGATTTACTTTTTCTAATCTGAAATAAAAAGAAATAAAAAGAAAGGATTAATAAGAGGTTGAAATAATAGACAAAATGAATAAAATGATGAATAGATGCCCTTCCATCTTGTGATTTTTGTCACTAAATTACACATTCACTTCCAAATGATGCAGGGCAATCTTTTGTCCAAAGAATGCCTTTCATTTATAAACTTATGCAATAAATCAGTATTTGTAAATATCCCTTTCATTTTGATTGTACATAAACATAATGTAGAAGATCACAACCATTGAAATGCTGTTTGTTTTGAATTGCATCTTGTGTGCCCTTGTCTGGTACATTTAACTTTATCCACAAGTTTTCCTACCTTTGTATATTAATACGGTATCCAGGTTTAATTGAACTTTTAAGTCAATTTTGTTTTACTTGTCTCTATCAGGCCAACTGTCCAGGATGATGTTCAACAGGAAATTCTACACCGCCTTATCAGGTAATCTGTGTTGTCATGGCAATGCTTCAGAATCCCACTTGACCTTATACTTAGTATAATCATGAATTGAACATAGGAAATTCATTACCACTGTTTTTACAGAAAACTTTTTGGTATTAATAGTAATTTAGGTTTAAATGATGTCTGGGATGTTTGAAAACAAGCTGTTTAATGTTAATTCTAACACTGATGTACACCATATTTATTTTTACAGTACATTAAAGTCACTAGATATTGCCAGACCTAAAAGTTGTAAAAAAAGAAAGAAGACAGAAGATACAGAGAAAGATACTGTATTGCCTGTGGATGAGGAAAAGCAGTCCATCAGGTATATATTTGGTATGACAGATAAGGAGTAACACTGTGATTTTTTAAGTATGTGAACTCCTTATTCCAGAACAGCTATATGTTCATTTGTAGTGTATCAACATAGTCCTGTAATGTGTGTTAAATGTACATTTGTAGAATGGTACATTGGACCAAATATACATTGGATGCATCATCTGTATACCATTCACATATCTAGCATTCTTGTATATCCCCTACACATCCTACACACAATACACTATTGTATCCTAATACCAGTGGTAAGGTGGGGAGAGGGTGTCATCGTCAGTAAGACACAAAAGACATCTTGACCCATATATCTGTGTTAATTGATCAAACATGTTCAAACCTTTCCAATGATGAGCGCTGATGGTAAGATTATTTATAAGATGTAAACAGGACACCCAAGTATACACATACAAAGTAACAACAGTATGCATTTTTCTATTACACAATGGAAGTTTAAAGATGCTGATGCAAGTCACTAAGAATATAGGGAATATAGGATCTTACATGCTTCCATTTGTATAAAACAAGTTTGAGAACTTTTCATTTTACTGAGTCCCAGGCAGGATAAAACAAATACATTGAAAGCATAACACATCCAGTGGGTCATGTTACACTTATTTCGTAATGTTTTGTTAATACTGTGCAGCAGTAGGTGTAATTACACTGATAGCTGTGTAATTATTTGATATACCTGGGTAAATAAACAATTTTTATCATTTCATTTGTTGTTACATACATGTAGAATGTGTTAATATATCTTTATTTAGGTCCTAGGTTAATATACCATTTGTGAATTACTTTTAACATTACCTGATTGACAGGAAACAGCTGCTGTTTGGTGTGAATCAGGTGACCAGAGGATTGGAAAAAGATGAGGTGCGATTGGTCATGACATGTAGGTCTGCTCAACCAGTGATTATAACAAGACATATGATTGGTTTATCATCCTTAAGGGGATGCCCAGCAATCTGCATCAATGATCTCAACAAGTCTTTGTGCGAGGTGATGAATATGACATCAGCTGTTGCTGTTGCATTCAAGGCAAGATGATAGCAAATTCTGAACATACATGTTTATGATATCATATATTTTTACTGGCAACACAAGAAGGAAACAATGGCCCTTTTGACTGTAACATGTTAATTTACAAGGTTCTGTTGTCTAGTGATGGGTCAGTATTGAAAAAAAATATATGTGTTAAACAAAATTGAAATTTATTAATAAAGGAAATTAAACCAGCAGAGTTCAGGAATGAAGCTTGAGCTGGACCTCAACAATGTAAATATCATATGTGTCATTCTTCATGTAGAGCTGCTCATTTACAGGTAATTTACAACTAGCAGCCTTGAAAGGCTTGATCAGTGGTATTCTGTAAATTGAAAATAACAATATACCAGCATATATTAACAGATTCATAGCTTCTAATGAACATTTCTTTTAAGAAATTAGACTATTTTTGATATGAGAAAAGGACAGCTCAAACTATTCTGCAATAAATGCATGAAAGGTATAAGATATTAGGGAATTAATTGATTGTGTATTGAAGTATCTGTTATAAAACTTCTTCAACTTCTTTGAGGGCTGGTTGGCGATGTGGATAACCCCATAAACACTCCTCACTCTGGTTTGGTGATATATAAATAGTCCCTGGTTAGTGTGTTTATAGCATGAGAGTGCAGTGGAAAGGGCTAAAGAAGGCTTAACATTTCCTCTTTAAAATTAGTTATGATAATAATAAATTACTAAGTGTAGAAAAAATATGAAAAAAATCAATTTATTGTTAAAGTTGTTTCAAGAGTGTTATCATTGCATATGTTTAAGGTGTTGGCTTGTGCCCTGGATCTATTACACTCAGTTACACCTGACAGTAGAGGATGTCTATTCTGCTTCCGTAGAGTAAAGTACTTTACACAGGGTGGGTGGGGGGATGGGGAGGGGGGTCCATTTAATTGGCTTTAATACAATTATATATTTTTTTATAAGTAATAAATAGAACAGGCACACTACTATCAATTAATAGTTACTTAATATATACACATGATATTGAATAAATTAAAAATATTTCAGACATTTAAAAAATGCTAATAATTGAGATGAAAAATTTAGATTTAATTTATAGAATAAAATAAATCACAAACTAATTGGAAACATGTTGGTGGTTATCTTTTCAGGTGTCGTGAATCGAATAATTATCACTTATTCTCTTGAGAAGAATTGTTGATTTACTTATGTTTTTTAGTACTGCCCGGGAAAAACGAAAATTCTGTAACACCATATTATCACCTTTTCAGTCAGGACTGTAGAATAAAAATCACTATTACAGTGTATTCTGAAGATTTTATAAAGCCAGAGAAAAAGTTTTATTGAAATATTTATTCCCACAAGTAGCTATAATGATATATCTGTAAAATGAAGTTTCAATCATTGGATCTAGTGTTAGGCATAAGCATGATGTTTTACTTGCTAACCATGTGGTATTGGATCTGCTCAAAATTGTTTGTTGACTGAGAGGCATTAAAGTAGTAATCAAAGTTTTGACCATCTTGGGACACTGGTCAGGAAGACTGATTGGGCAGGCCCTTACTGACGGTTTCCCACCCATAGTTCCAATTTGTTATGACATTTCAATCTGTTATAGATTTTCATAGGGACCATGCTTTGTGGAAATTTGACATTTCAAACTTCTTCTCAAGTTCCCCCAATGGGATTGAGCTCAAACTTGCAGGAAATGATCCAGAGATGGTCCTGACCAAGTGCTGTTATTTTCCTAGTATGCTTGAAATCACAGATGGCTGCCATCTTGGAAAAACATATTTTAAACTTCTTCTCCAGTTCCTTCAGTTCCTTGAGTCAAAAATTGATAGGAATGTTGAGGAAAGGTAGCCAATTATGTTGTTATTTTTTGACCATGTCAAAACTTCGATACAACAGCCAGGGAGGCCATTTTGTAACATGGTTGTGCTATCATGGTTTTTGTGTACACTATTTAATTTTAAATTCTTCTCAAGTTTTACTGGTGGCATTGAGCTCCAACTTTACTGTCAAAAAATAGGTAACACTTGTTACAGTTACCTACTCCTGACCAAAACTACCATCTGCATCATGGTAAACAGCTCCTTAGCGAGATTTCATTCAAAGTAGAAAAAAAATAATCCTTCTCTCTGCTGAAATTGTTTGTAGTCAGACAGTTAAGGCCCATTGGCCTCTTGTTTGTTGATACATTCCTGTCTGGGCTGGTTTTCGTCTTGACTAACAACCAGCAGTGATGTTTGGTATGCTAGGTGAAGAAATTATTTATAACCTGAGTGCATATTAAATATCCTATCGATGATTAAAGTTAAGCATAAAAAAAATCCTGCTAGAAAATATCTAAAAAGTCTTCCCTATTTATCCAGGCTTTACAAAAAAAAAACAATTCATTGGTTGCAATAAAGAATCATCATATGCCTTTTGGCTATTGACAGTCCTTTACAATTGTTTAATGCTTGTATTTATGAAATCTTATTTAAAAGTTCTTGATTACATTTGCATTGCTTTGCATCTGATATAGTAATATCTACAAATTTTTCTTTTTATTCAGAAAAAAACTGAAACGGGAGATCCAAGTGTTTTTGATGATCTGGTGGAATTTGTAGTGAAGAATGCCCCCGAAATAACATTGCCTTGGTTAGCTGGAAATTCAGGTGATATATCGAACACAGAGTTGGTGGAAACCGGCACTGCAGATGCTCAAAATAGATGCTGTGACCAAGACATGAAAGAAGTTGCTGTGGCAGAATCTGATCCCGGAAACATTTCTCATAACGCCTCCAAAGACAAAGAAAAGTCACATGTAATTCAAACTTCAGTTCCTTTAACAGAATCTTCTGTAGAGAAAAGGTCTGACAAAGTTCCTACAGACAGTTTCATATCACACAAAAAGCAAGCAGATAAAACACCAGTGGATTACTCGCGTTTCTATGTGTATAAATCTGAAGCTACAACATCAATGAAAAAGTGGCCTGAGTTTCTCAAGTTCTCTAGTGATCCAGAAGAGTCTGTAGATTATAAATCTGTGGATTATAAAAACGTAACAATTAACGAGTCTACAGACTATAAAAAGGTATCGGTTAAAAGAATTCCATCTAACCCCGAAAGAAAGAAAAAGAAAAGAAAATTGAAAAAGTAAGGGAGTGACTATTAATAAAACTATTGTACAATATTACGTCTTTTAGTTTTAGATTATGGTGATTTTTTTAAATGGCTACTATACTGTTTTGTAATCTATTCTGTCAGAGTTTGTATCAATAGTTTGGATAAAGATTTCAATATCTTTAAAATTAACGATAATAAACTATTGCAATTGAAATTTTGGCAATCTACATATTAAGCTGCCAAAATAAAGCTGAGTGAAAATTTTTCGCTATACAGTATCTATTTAGGAACAGTAACGCAATTGGATACATCAGATGACCTGGTTCTCTTACTTCATTTAGTTTCTTTTTAAGAGTTAAAGGAGAACCCCTGCATCCCACTAGGGCTCCACTCTACCACAAAAGTTACATAACAAATAAACCAATTGGTTGTAGTAACCGAATGGAAGAAAACAAAAAGCAAAGACGAGGACAAGCAGAAAACCAACAGAAACACTTCAGACGAAACAACAGAGATTACCTTAGATTTATCCAGGAAAAATGTGTGAAATAAACCAAGAGACAAGGTTACAAAATGCAGGAAGTTTGACAATCTTTAGTGTATCTTAAAAAAATAATCCACTTTCAAGGAATCTAGAGAAGTGACTCATAGGCCACATGAAAATACCTACTGTCTGATGCATTTTACTTACAGAATCAAGATTGGATGTACACAAGTTTGATTTAGAAAAGGCTCTCTTGGATGTTTCCCCCACATCTGTATTATTACATGTACTTTCACTGGGTCTGTTGTCACCAACAATAAGATCAACAACAATAAACAGTTCAAATTTTATTTTATTTCCGAACCAACAAATTTAGCTGAATAAGGTTGCTCAATTGTTAATTTTCACAAAATCATTTCTACCGAATTATGTCTCTATTTGTTAGCAAATCTTTTAATCCATATGAACAATTGAATACTTGTTTGCTTTTAACAATATAGTTTACTACCGATGAAGGGAAGGTGTGAACGACACACTTACTATAGTATTGAACAAAGTATTGATACTATTGTATTGAAGTATTCAAATAATCGAGTCAAGTATACAACGACCTCTGTGATTGGTCGGGGGCGGAGTTTAGACAACCTGAATAGTTGATCTGACACCCAATTTGTTCCGGTAGGCGGAGTTAATGTACACTATCAGTTACATAACAATTACTAAGTAATCGCTGGAAAAATGTCCGACGACGGCAACAGTACGCAAAATTTTCTTCGACGAAATTATGTCCGATACGAACGGTATGGGGAATCCTGTTTTTGTACAAGGCGATGTGGTTGTGATGGATAATTGTGGATTCCATCACCATAGACAGGGAGAGCGCATTTTAAGAAATATGCTGAAAGAATATGGCGTGTCCCTGGTTTTTCAGCCGCCTTATTCCCCGGAATACAATAACTGAATATGTATTCAATGTCATGAGACAGAGGCTTCGGGCAAATACCCGACTTGTGTCAGAATTTCTGGAACTTGCAGTAGTAAATGCTCTAATATTCCGCCCAACCAACTTCAAAGTTTTTTCACATGTTGCGGATATGTATAATTTTCGATGGAAAGATAAAAAATAAAATAAAAAATATATGGGACCAAATTCCTTTATTTTTTAATGCAGTATGAATTATCGGCATATATCAGGAGGTCCCAGGTAATTCGTAATTCTTTGTTACATATAATAGAGCTTGGGCTTAAACCGAAATATTTTGAGCCAACCTTTCAAAAAAATAAATATATCAATAAAACTAGTACAGAATGACTATATGACTATATTCACTGTTAAGATGTTATGAATTCTCCGGTCCCAGTGATCTAACCTGTTGATATATATTTTGTACGTAAATTAGTTTAGTACTGAGAAACTTTCGTTTTCTCGTTGTACCATCGATGGAAAAGCAAGGTATCATTGGGTGTAGAACGAAAAAAATGGGACAACCCAATTAGGTCTGATCTGAAGCCACCTGTGACTTGGACTCTTCCAATTAACCTCTCGCGACTGTCGAGTGTTTGTAAAATGCCGATGTCTGCACAGTATTTTTTCACCTGGCTCCACCCACAATCGATCTAGACTTGGCTCTGCCAATCAGAGAGCTTGTTGCATAAATTTAAGGAATTCGATTGGTGAAGTACTTCAGTACAATACTATCAATACTTTGTTCAGTACTACAGTACTTGAAACGTTCACACCTTCCCTTCAGCGGTAGTAATAGTGTCTAATGTAGAGGATTTCTTCATGAACCAATTCATGAATTTTTCATGACAACTACCTAGCAGTTGAAACAGGTCAACCATTTCGAACCAGTTCATTGTTTGCTTTACGTCCTATTAACTTTCGGGATCATTTAAGGATGTGCAAGGTTTGGTTGGTGGAAGAATGCCAGAGTTCCTGGGGAAACACTACCGACCTATGGTCAGTACAGGGCAACTGACCCACGTAGGTCTCGAACCAGCAACCCTTACAGTAACAGGTACTCTTTCTCAAACCAACAATAGTCAATTTTATCAAAATATTTTTTTACAGTTTCATCTGAATAGATTAGGAACATTGCTAAAGTGAGAATATTTTACTTGTATGACACTGGAATGAAAAGCGTTTGAGAAATTATCTGGATTCACTTTTAAAGTTGCCTAAAATCAAACTTTGTAAAAGATGCAATGTGATAATGAAGTAAACGTAATTAATATTAAAAATAACTGCAAGGATTATCAATAGATAGTAAGTTAGGTTTCTACTTCCAAGGTTGATTACCCTAAATAGATCAGTACTTATTGTATGCTGGCTGAAGTGAATGCTTTCTGCAAGTGACATAAAATTCCTACACGTGATGCACGAATGAATGGATGCACGACTAAAACATTACATTAAATACAATACATTAATAAAGGACGTAAAACTCCATACTCACAGCTTGAAATGTTTCGATAGTTCCATCTGCTGTGTGTAGGGCTGGATATTCAGAGGTCCCAGATTCGATCCTTAGATAATCAAAGGAGACATTGAAATAATGACCCCTGTTACATTGGCACCCATCTAGGGGCGTTGGGAATGTTGACAAAACAATGTTTCTCTTACAAGGTGAATGGTGGTAACTTAACAATGGTCAGAACAACAGAATGGTCGAATCTCGTAACCTCAGATATTATGTACATTTTCAATCATACATCGTCTTGTAAAAAGTCATCGTCATAAGAAATCTAAAATTCCAACAAAACAGAATGGAGACTTCCTAAATACTGAAATGTCATTTAAAAATGAAGGTTATGTTATAGTTTGATTCAATTAATGAGGGACTAAATGGATTAAAGAAACATATACATTATGTCAAGCAGCCAAACTCTTGGATATATGCGAGATCATGTTGACTTTACAAACTTTAAATATCGGTAAAATGTGCCATGACAATCTATAATGCTAAACGAAAACAGACCACTATACAACCAAATGATTCAAGTATAATTTAACTAACAACGATCTATTACGTACGCTTATTGTCTCTGTTTATGGATTTGAAATGATGTTTTCACCTTTTACTTGTTGTATGTACGGAATGTTTGCAGTAAAAGTGATATTTTAAACTAACCTCTCCATAGGGGATATTTCCTCCTTGTTAAAATCATTTTACTGGATATTGGACTATTTCCAGATTTAAAAACGCATTTATTGCCAATCAAGTTCTTCGAAATTGAGTGTAGGAAAGACGTGTTCCATATTAAAGCTGTACTGGACATGCGATGTTAGAACTGCACACAAACATGCATACGTATTTACAACGGAAATTATGTGTGCAGGAAAGTCGTCTTAGGGGAATAAAACACCCAACTTAAATTAATTACAAAGACAGCAAATTTAATTTCCGTAAAATCCAAACCTTGGATTTCGACACCTATCAGAAAATGATCCATAATTATGTAAATGACGCTGCTAATTGTGACATCAGACTGTCTTTAAAACGACTGAACGGATGTAGGAGGAAGCTATGTAGCACCCTCAAGGTCAATGGCGAAGCACTGAGATTACAGAAAATATAGCTAATGCGTTTGCGCAACACTCTGTTCCCGCGTACGATTCTGACACAGCTGATGCCATAAACTAGGATATTACCTTTGAGGAAGTCGAATCATGTATTCGGCAAATACAGCTCGGGAAACCCCCGGAATAGACGACCTTCAGAATGAACACTTGCGGTTTGGTGGGCGTGAACTGATATCGAACCTCGTTAACTTGTTCAACTACATCAAACAGTACGCTGATATCCCTACTTTATGATAAAAAGGCATTATTCTACCAACCCATAAATGTGGCAACAAGTTTAAATGTAATCCAGGCAACTACAGACCTGTAACACTGTTTTGTGTAACCTACACGCTTCTCGAGAAGCTCGTGAATAACACGATTCAAATGTCGCTGACGTCTTCAGTCGAAACCTTCCCCCAACCAACAACAGATCGGATTTCGTAAGCACCTTCGTTGTTCGACCGCATCATTTGTCCTACAAGAAACTGTATTCTGTAACATAGAGCATCAAAGTAACGTGTACCTTGCCTTTTTGGATACATAACAGGCCTGTAATACTGTATGGCATTCCGTACTAATGGCCAAACTGCATTGCCACGGACTTCATTATCGATATATTGAGTGCAGTGACGTATGATGGTACGACGTAGGAATGGTTCAAGGTTAACTCGGGCATGGGGCAAGATGGGGTGTTGTCAACAATTTTTCACCACGCCTTTATTGATAACCTACTTAATCTCATAGAAAAACAGTAACCGGGGACCTAAAGTAATGCCTATACCAGCTTGTAATCCTATCCTAGCTGACGATCAGGCTTTAATCGCGACAACCCCTGCTTCACTTCAAACTGTGTTTAACATATGTCACGACTACAGAACGGGATGACGGTACAGGTTTAATAGCGATAAGTGTTCCGTTATTGTGATAGGCCGATTTATTCCAACAGAACCATCCTTCTGCTGGCTACTTGGACCCAATCCAACACAGAAGGAACTG